TTTTCAAGCCAAAAAAAACTTTCTTAAACTACAGCTCCTTGGAACATCTTACCGACGTGAAAGGCGCTCTACAAATGTAATTTGTTTTTGTTGTCGCCTTCCAAAATGTGCTTCAAAAGACAACATTCCTGATCATCTTAAACCCTTCTGTACAATGGACCATCGACTATTTGCCATAAAACCATACCAATCCTTCCCGGATAGATAATTGAATCTAGTGGATAATTGAGGTTCCACGATATGGATGTCTGTTAACTTTTTACCACAACAACTGGGCTGCTGCAGAGTGTAATCAGTAAGACACCAACTACTTGAATAGAATGTATATTTCAACTTGAAATTGTTGGATTTACTCTCCTTCATGGACTATTGTTTGGTTATTGCTGCTAGCGCTTTGGATTCCATCTTGCAATATAAATTGGAGGCAGGCCCCTAGCACCAGCAGGCTGAAATATGACAACAGTATTAAAGGGGCAAACCATCTCACAAAAATGTCTTCAAACACTTTGCATGCATCGTTTTTATTCTAGCAATGTGCATTCAATGAAATTTCTTTCTTTGGAGGGCAGAACAATGAAATTTATTTCAATGTGCAACAACAAGATTACATTTGTATAGCCCTTTCATGTCGGGAGGACGTCACAAGGCGCTGGACAGTGTACAGCATTTCAGACCCGAGCTGGGGTCAGGGAGAGAGAAAGGAGAGGAAGGTGGGTGACCGATAGCATGGTCGAAGAGGAGGGTTTTGACTTGAGACTTGAAGGAAGCTAAGGAGGGAGCGAGACGGAGTGATTGGAGAATGGAATTCCAGAGGTTGGGGGCAGAGTGGCTGAAGGCTCTCCCGCCAATGGTGGGGCGGGTGGGTCAGGGGATGTGGAGCAGGCTGGAGCCGGCTGAGCGGAGGGAGCGGGCGGGTTGGTAGGAAGTCGCAGAGGTAGGGTGGGGCGAGGCCATGGAGGGCTTTGTATGTGAGGACCAGGATCTTAGCTGGATCCTCTGAAGGATAGGGAACCATTGGAGTCGGACGAGAATGGAGGAGATGGGGTCGTGGAGTTTGATGTGGAGAGGACACGGGCTGCAGAGTTCTGGATTATCTGCAGCCTGTGGAGGGAGGAGTTGGGAAGGCCGACAAGCAGGGAGTTTGCAGTCGAGCCTGGAGGTGATGAAGGCATGAACAAGAGTTTCAGCGGCCTGAGGGGTGAGGTAGTGGCGGAGTTGGGAGATTTTACGGAGGTGAGGGAAGGCAGAGCGGGTCATGGCTTGGAAGTGGGGAAGAAAAGACAGTTGAGGGTCGAACAAGACACCTAGGTTCCTAACTGGCTTGGTGACTTGTAGTGTGCAACCATGGAAGTTGATGGCAGTGTAAAATATAGTGAATTTTACACTGCCAAAAAAGAATCACTAAAAAGTTCCATGAAAATAATAGCTCTCTAAACTTTGACATGCTTTGTAGTATGAACAAAGCAATAGTATTGGGTTATTCTTTAAAAGTAACTTGAGTTAAAAGAGTGAACAAAATATCCCAAACTACATAAGAACCACATTACAACATTGGTCCATAAACCTAAGCATCACATTGCAATGTGTCCCTGTCCACTGGTACCTTTCCCACCCCTTTAAAAAATAGTGTATCTGTAATATTAAAACAGTATATTTCACAAAAATGCAACAGGACTGTAAGTTGTGGTTAGTGTTAAATGCAGCATCTTTGGCAAAAGGTGATTACAATAGGAAATGTAGTTAATTTGCTGGAATGGTTCAGATCCTACCTCTCACACTGTCTCCACATCATCTCCACAAATGGCTTCTCCTCTAGCCCTCGCACCGTCTCGTGCAGCGTTCCTCGGGGCTCTGTCCTTGGTCCCCTCCTCTTCAATATCTATATGCTCCCTCTTGGTGATATCATCCGCAGACATGGAGTCAACTTCCACATGTATGCGGATGACACCCAACTCTTCCTCTCTGCCTCCACCCTTGACTCCAGGACCACTGCTGTCCTGACAGAATGTCTGTCAGACATCAAGTCCTGGATGAGAACTAACTTTCTTCAGTTGAGAATCAACAAGACCGAGGCTCTCCTGATTGGCTCCTGTCAGCACCTCCTCACCTCAGGCGCTGACAGCATCTCCATCCATGGTTGCACACTCCACCTTACTAAGCCAGTCTGGAAACTTGGTGTCCCGTTTGACCCCCAACTATGCTTTCTACCCCACTTCCATGCCATGACCCGCTCTGCCTTCCCCCACCTCTGCAACATCGCCCGGCTCCGCCACCGTCTCACACAGCAGGCCGCCGAAACCCTCATACGTGTATTCATAACATCGAGGCTTGATTATGCAAACTCCTTGCATGGCTGCCTCCCCAACTCTTCCCTCTATAGGCTGCAGATCATCCAGAACTCGGCAGCCCGTGTCCTCTCCCACACCAAGACCATGACTATCACCCCCATCCTCGCTCAACTCCACTGGCTTCCCATCACACAGAGGATACAGTTCGACGGAAACGCTATATAATGCAAGGATAAGATCCTGGTCCTCCCCCTCAAAGCCTTCCACGGCCTAGCTCCCACCTACCTCTGTGACCTCCTAAACCCCTACCATTCTGTTCCATCAAGACCCATCTTTAGACCCTCCTCTTTGACCGTGCTTTTGATCACCCTGCTTCCCCCCTGTCTCCATCCTCCCCAATCCCGACCCCCAGCTCGGGTCAGAAACACTGACTGTCCAGCACCTTAGGACAAACTCCCAACGTGAAACGTGCTATACAAATGTAATTTTGGTGTTGTTGTTCAGTGAGATATGCAGCCAAATGACAAAATGATCCTCGCACCATTACTTCCTGTGTGCTATGCACAGCGTACTAGAAATGTGGCTGCACATGCACACGTCAGCTTTCCTTGCTTAGAAAAGACTGATTTCTGGTTCATCACGACCAACCGATTTCTAAATAATCTATTGCAATACCTCAATCCCTATTGTGTTTTTACTTCAGCTGGAGTAAATGCCAGAATTTGAAAGCTTTTTTTGAGGATAGAGTCAGGGAGTTCCAGTGGTTCAGGACTTAATGACTGAAGGCACAGCCGCTGATGGTTATAGGGGAGAGGTTAGAACATGCAGAAGCCTGAGCAAAGGGGCTGGGTAGAAAGAGCAGGGTGTGAGAAGGCTGGAGAGACAGGGAGGTGCTGGCACATGAAGTAAATGCTAGGCGAGTGTGAGGATCTTGAAATCGATCAGTTTTGGACAGGGAGGCAATGCGGCCTGGGGAGATGAGGGTGCAGAGTTTGGTACGGGTAAAGATATGGGCAGTGGAGCCAACGGTTAACTGAATTATCCCATTCATTGCTGGGCCACAGAGACTAAATCTGTACTAAATTGTTCCGATTTCAGCCACTGCAGCGGTTAAGACACTACAATTGTTCTGGGTTGGGGCATGGAGAGGAAGAAAATTCAACCATGGTTCCAATCACCGACTGCTAGTCTGAAAATCTCAGACCCCTGCTGGAAGGTCATCCTATGTGGGCGGCAGCGTTGACTGATGTCCCCTGCGGTAAAAAGGCCTGCAAGCACTGCCTCCAATTAAGGCTCAAACAAGAGTAATATTACTTGGGAGAAGTGCGAGAGGGTGATTCGTACCTGTGGAATGGTCTATGAATAGAAGGAAAAATAATGGCCGACAGTGTGTTTTTATTTGAAATCTCCTCTTTCCCTTTTAAGTCCCTTTTCAAAGGAATGAGTTCAAAAATAATAGTTCTCTCATTTATGTTTGCGAGACCCTCATTAATTCCGAAAATCCCCGGAGCGCTGCTCTCATCGTCAAGTTTAATTCGCTGCATGTCTGGGCACAGAAGATGAAAATGCAGTTGGGATTAAAAAAAAAGGTGCAGGAAACTAGCAACTGCTCCCCATCAACTGCTCGGCCATGTGCCTGTGTCTTTGAGACAAAACACAGACATGAGACTCTCTCTCTCTCTCTCTCTGTATGTATATATATATATCCAACCTATATATATATATATATATCTCCAACCTGCAATAAGTCAAACACAAAACCGATGCAGACCAAAAGGACACATTTATCGAACCGCACAGATGCAACATAATCTCTCTCTGTATATATAAATGCATTGACATGGTGGATTTATGAGGGGGGGAGACAAACAACTGAGGAAACAACAGGACTTGCAACAGATCAGCAGCAAAATATGCGTCCGAAGAGGAGCAGAGAGACAGCACCAGGAACAAAGGGAGAGTGGGCGCAGCTTCACCCCCACACCCCCGGCCTGGCCTGGTCTGGTCAGCAGCCCGGCCGGGCCCCGGGGGGCAAGAGGGACATCCAGGTGCTGCATTGAGGCCCAACGTCCGCGGGAGTGGAGGGGGTCGTCCGCGGGAGGGAGAGTTTGTCGGGTGGGAGGGGGGGGGGGGGGGGAGGCCTTCCCCCTCGCTGGTTGCTGTGGTAACGGCGCCGCCCGGGGCCTCCTTTCTCCGGAGTTAAAAAGAGCCGCTGAAAACTAGCGGTGACCGAGAGCCGACAGCCCAGAGCCCCGCTCCACCCCCCCCCCGGGGCCCCGCCCCCTCCCCCCGGGGCCCCGCTCCCCCCCCCCCCCCCCCCCCCCCCCCCCCCCCCCCCCCCCCGGGGCCCCCCCCCCCCCCCCCCCCCCCCCCCCGGGGCCCCGCTCCCCCCCCCCGGGCCCCGCTCCCCCCCCCGGGGCCCCGCTCCCCCCCCCCCGGGGCCCCGCTCCCCCCCCCCCCCCCCCCCCCCCCCCGGGGCCCCGCTGCCCCCCCCCGGGGCCCCGCTGCCCCCCCCCCCCCCGGGCCCTCCCCCCCCCCCCCCCCCCCCCCCCCCCCCCCCCCCCGTCCCCCCCCCCCCCCCCGCCCCCCCCCCCGGGCCCCGCCCCCCCCCCGGGCCCCGCTCCCCCCCGCCCCGCTCCCCCCCCCCCGGGCCCCGCTCCCCCCCCCCCCGGGGCCCCGCTCCCCCCCCCGGAGCCCCGCTCCTCTCCTCACCTGGCAGCGGCACACCATGTCGGCGTCCTGGGCCAGCAGATCCACCACCTTGCCTTTGCCCTCGTCTCCCCACTGCGCTCCCAGCACCACCGTCACCTTGTTGCCCACGTCACGGGGCCTCGCTCTCCCCAAAGCAGCCGGAGCCGGAGCCGAGCTCCGGTCAGCGGCGGGGCCCGAGCCCGAGCCCGAGTCCCCGTTGTATGTTTGGCCGCCCTTCCCGCTCATCACGCTTCCCCCGAGTGCGGGTGGCCAGGCGCCCGGGCGGGACCGAGACTGAGCCCGTCCCCGCCTCCTCCGGCTGCTCCTCCCTCTCTCCAGCCTTTGCCAACCATCTTTATAGCCCAAAGTCAACCCCAGAATAGCCCCAAAGTAGCCCGGTGCCCCCCCCCGAGGGCTGGTGCTTCTCCAACTGCGAAACACAAGAGAGGAAAGGAAAATTGTTTTGCAGGTTTAAGTTTTTAAAAATTCTCCCTCCCCCTCTCTCCCCACTCACTGCTCCTCCTCCTCCCCTCCCCATTCACTGCTCCTCCTCCTCCCCTCCCATTCACTGCTCCTCCTCCTCCCCTCCCATTCACTGCTCCTCCTCCTCCTCCTCCCCATTCACTGCTCCTCCTCCTCCCCTCCCCATTCACTGCTCCTCCTCCTCCCTCCCCATTCACTGCTCCTCCTCCCTCCCCATTCCGCTCCTCCTCTCCTCCCCATTCACTGCTCCTCCTCCTCCCCCTCCCCATTCACTGCTCCTCCTCCTCCCCTCCCCATTCACTGCTCCTCCTCCCCTCCCCATTCCTGCTCCTCCTCCTCCCCTCCCCATTCACTGCTCCTCCTCCTCCTCTCCCCATTCACTGCTCCTCCTCCTCCTCCTCTCCCCATTCACTGCTCCTCCTCCTCCTCTCCCCATTCACTGCCCTCCTCCTCCCTCCCATTCACTGCTCCTCCTCCTCCTCTCCCCATTCACTGCTCCTCCTCCTCCTCTCCCCATTCACTGCTCCTCCTCCTCCTCTCCCCATTCACTGCTCCTCCTCCTCCTCTCCCCATTCACTGCTCCTCCTCCCTCCCCTCCCCTCCCCATTCACTGCTCCTCCTCCTCCTCTCCCCATTCACTGCTCCTCCCCCTCTCTCCCCACTCACTGCTCCTCCTCCTCCTCTCCCCATTCACTGCTCCTCCTCCTCCCCTCCCCATTCACTGCTCCTCCTCCTCCCCTCCCCATTCACTGCTCCTCCTCCTCCCCTCCCCATTCACTGCTCCTCCTCCCTCCCTCCCTCTTCCCCTCCTCCCCACTCACTGCCCTTCCTATCCTTTACTCCCTCCCTCTTCCCCTCACCTCCTCCTCCCTCTCCCCACTCACTGCCCTTCCTCCTCCTCCTCCTAACTCCCTCCCTCTTCCCCTCCTCCTCCCTCTCCCCACTCACTGCCCCTCCTCCTAACTCCCTCCCTCTTTCCTCCTCCTCCCTCTCCCCACTCACTGCCCCTCCTCCTCACTCCCTCCCTCTTCCTCCTCCTCTCATCCTAATTTCCTCCCTCTCTCCCCCTCTTCTCCTCACCTCTCCCCACTCACAACCCCTCCTCCCACTCATTGCATATCCTCCCACCCCCTCCCCTTACTGCCCCTGCTCTCCCCCCACTCTCTGCCCCTGCTCTCCCCGCACTCACTGCCCCTGCTCTCCCCGCACTCACGGCCCCCGCTCTCCCCCCACTCACGGCCCCCGCTCTCCCCCCACTCACGGCCCCCGCTCTCCCCGCACTCACTGCCCCTGCTCTCCCCGCACTCACTGCCCCTGCTCTCCCCGCACTCACTGCCCCTGCTCTCCCCGCACTCACTGCCCTGCTCTCCCCGCACTCACTGCCCCTGCTCTCCCCGCACTCACTGCCCTGCTCTCCCCGCACTCACTGCCCCTGCTCTCCCCGCACTCACTGCCCCTGCTCTCCCCCCACTCACTGCCCCTGCTCTCCCCGCACTCACTGCCCCTGCTCTCCCCGCACTCACTGCCCCTGCTCTCCCCCGCACTCACTGCCCTGCTCTCCCCGCACTCACTGCCCCTGCTCTCCCCGCACTCACTGCCCCTGCTCTCCCCCCACTCACGGCCCCTGCTCTCCCCTCCCCACTGTGGAGTTCTACCTTGCTCAACTCCACAAGAATGGTTCCATAAAACATGGTTCCTGCTTTCATCTTTGTGAAAATAGAGCCCATACTGCAAGTGGCATCTTGCCTCAGGGCACTATCCTCAGTCCACTCCTCTTCCCCATCTATATGCTCCCACTCAGTGGCATCATCCACAGATATGGGGTTCATTTCAACATGTACAGATGATACCCAACTCTCTGTTTCTACCTTCGACTCCGGGACTCGTCATCCTGCCCGATTACCTGTCAGTCTTGGATAAGCTTTAACTTTCTTCAGTAATATTGACAAGACAGGTTCTCCTACTTGGCTCCCAACAGCGCCTCAGGCACTGACAGCATCAACCTACATTGAATGTGCATCCCACCTTGCACACCCAATGCAGAATTTCAGTGTTGTTCAACTCCCAACTTGTCCTTCAAACCCTGCATAAGTGCTTTTATTTGCTCAACTTTCCCTTACTTCCATAACTTTTCTTGCCTCCACCACGAACTTTCACCTTGGGTCACCAAGTCTCTCATCCACGCTTTTATCACATCCAGGCCTGAGCACGCTGCAGGCTATGCAGGCACCATAGAGAAACATAGAAACAGGAGTGGGCCATTCAGCCCCTCAAGCCTGTTCCACCATTCTATAAGATCATGCCTGATGTGTACCTCAAGTCCAATTATCTGCCCTTGCCCCATAACCCTTAATACCCTGGCCTGACAAATATCTATCTACTTCTCTTTTGAAGATGTGAATGAGCCAGCCAGCATCCACAGCCTTTTGGGGTAGAGTTTGAAATTTCCACTACCCTTTGGGTAAAAAACTACCTCCTAATTTCAATTTGAAATGGCCTAGCTCTAATTTTAAGATTATGGCCCCATGTTCTGCATTTCCCCCACCAGAGGAAATAGTTTATCTATATCTGTCCTATTGAATCCCCTTATTATTTTAAAAACCTCAATTGATCACCCCTCAACCTTCTAAACTCAAGGGAATACAGAGCCAAGTTTATGCAACCTGTCCTCATACTTTGACCCTTTTAGCCCTGGTATAATTCTGGTATCATGCTACCCGTAAGTAGGAACCCGGTTATTAGTCAATTAGTGGATTGCTTTTCCGGGCATAATAATTCCTTCAAAATCAATAAAAGTAATTTGGTCACTCTTTCCACGATTCTTTGTGGTACACTGCTGTGTACAAGTGGCTGCCGTGTTTCACCCACAAAATATACAGTCAATTAACTTTACAGTATATTCTGTGAAGCGCTTTGCGACGTCTCGAAGATGTGATAAGGCACTATATCAAATCGAGGTTTATTATTCTGGTGAATCTGCATTGCAACCCCTCCAGAGCCAATATATTCTTTGTGAAGGAGCAGTGCCTTAAACCTATCACTCCCATCCTCGCTCAGTTTCACTGGTTCCCCATACTACAGCAGATTGAATTCAAGATCCTCGTTCTCACCTTTAAGCCCCTCCACGGTGTCACCCACCTTCCATGACTTCCTTCAACCACCCTGGCTACTCTCTTCACTCAGCTATCACTCAACTATTTAATATCCCGACTATCTGTCAAATCATCCACGTCCTACCAACATGAAAATCGCTGTATAATTGTAATAATCTTTGTATACCAATAAAGACCTCACAAACCGCCAGCAGTACATCTGCACAAACGGCTTCTCCTCCCGCTCTCACCCGGTCACCTGCAGAGTACCCCAAGGATCCATCCTTGGCCTCTTCCTCTTTCTGATCTACATGCTCCCTCTTAGGGATGTCATCTGTAGAAATGGGGTACATTTCCACATGTATGAGGACGACACCCAACTCTATTTTTCCACCAGATCTCAGATCTCAGGGGCTGGATGAGCGCAAACTTCCTTCAGCTGAACATTGACAAGACGGAAGCCATACTCTTCGGCTCTCATCAACGTCTAAAATCTCACGGCTCTCACCTCCTCCACCTACCCGACCTCCCCCTAAAACTTTCCGAACCCATACGCAACCGAGGGGTCAGGTTTGACCCCAATTATCCTTCCTCCCCACATCCGGTCTCTCATCAGCACTGCTTTCTTCCACTTCCGACACATCACCCGTCTCCGTCAATACCTCTCCCCAAAAGCCGCTGAAACTCTGGTCCATGCCTTTGTCACCTCCTGGCTGGACTATTCAAACACCCCCTCACCGGTCTCCCATCCATTGCCATCCATAAAATCCAACTCATTCAGAAGAGGGAGTGGGAGGAGAGGTGTTTGCAAAATTGGTTTGTAACAATGCGTTCTAGAACTTTTGAGAGGAAGGGCAGGTAAGAAATAGGGCGGTAGTGGCTGGGGTTTGAGGGATTAGGGAGGGTTTTTTCAGGAGGGTGGTGATGACAGCAGTTTTGAGGGAAGCACGGACTGATCCGGAGGAGAGGGACTGGTTGATAATGTCAGCCAGTAGTGAGCAGAGGAGGGGGATCCGTGTGACCAGTAAGTTGGTGGGGAGGGGATCGAGGCAGCAGGTGGTGGGTTTCATGGAGGTGATGGTGGGTGAGAGGGAGGAGCGAGAGATGGGGAAGAAAGAGTGTAGAAAGAGGGTGGTGGTAGGAGCAGATGATGAGGAGGGTGAGGGGGACAGAGAGTGCGTGGTGGTGGGTGACAAGGGGCAGGTGGATGAGGCTGCCTGGCGGATGTTAAGTATTTTAGAAGAAAAGAAATCCATGACCTCCTCGGACTTATCATTTGATACGAAGATTGAGGAGGCCTGAGGGGGGGCACGGAGGAGATAGTGGGTGGTGGAAAAAAGGATTTTAGGGTTGTATTTATCCTCCAAGATGATGTTGGAGTAGAAAGACGTTTTTGCGCATTCAAAGAACGGCAGTAGCTGTGGAGATGCTCAAGCCACAGTTGGCGGTGAACTGTCAGGCCAGTTTTCCGCCATCTGCGCTCGAGCAGACAGGTTTGGGTTTTTTGGCGGCGGAGATGGTTGTTGTACCAGGTGGATCGGGTGGGTTTGGAGATGGTCCTGGATTTTAGGGGGACGAGGGAGTTGAAAGTGGAGGAGAGGCGATCATGGAGCAGCTGGACAGCTGCTTCAGGATCTCCGTGGGTGGAAGGCCAGAGGGTTAGGATGTTTGAAGATGAGAGGGCCTTTGTGAGGGTCTCAGGGGGTAGCCTTTTCCAAGTGCGGTAGAGGATGGTTGAGGGCTTGGTGGAAAAGAGAGGGATGTGAGAGGAGAAGGAGATGAAAAAGTGGTCCGAGATGGCCTTGTTCACTATGCTGAGGTCAGAAATGTCAAGGCCATGG